GGCAGCCCTGAGAGGTAAAAGTTTTCAGATATCCAGTTAAATAAAAAGATGTTTCTTCCCTCAATGAATGTTCTTTGGAAGAATTCTATTTAATCCAAAGTAAAACTAAAAATGTTATTGAAAAGTGGAAAACTGGGATAAGATTGGCTTATATTGGTGGTTTCTGAAGTATGCTCCACATCCCCTCCTGTGCAAGTCTCATGCAATGCTGAGAAGGATAGGTGTGGGGGTAAGTTTGATGGGCTCCCCCATTCCTAAGTCAACTTGAACACTTTGATCACTGTTCCTCTACCAAGTGACCACACAATCTTTCTCTCCTCTTATGGGGCCTAGTAGATTGATATGCAGCAAATTGTTTCCTCCAAGTCTATGAATCTCTTGACAGCAGAGAGCATGGCTTAGCATGGAGCCTGGACTTGGTAACCATTGATAAATGTTATTGAAATGAATGAATGGACTTTAAACAAAAAATGATCTGGAAACTACACCAAGATCATTTCTCAATGATCCCAGCATTGCTGACTCTACTGACAAATAACCAGGAGCACAAACAGTATCACATAAAGACATTTTCAATGTGGGATTTGTACTTATTTAGGTAAAAGAAGAGGTTAGGCCACTTGAAAGGCTTCCTTTCAGGTCTCATCTGTGGATCTGAATACTGAATGAATAACAGAATTATATTTGGGAAATTGCTATTTTAATAATTTATAAGAAATCTGATAATTTGATATCAGGATTAACCATGGAGGTATCTGAGGCACAAAGGGGATTATATATTTGATAAGAGTTTCTAACCAGGTTAGTGACAGATCCAGCTATTTCCTTATTCTCCCACATACAGAAATTTCTGCTTTAATTCTATTATAAAAGTAGGTGGTTATGGTAAGAAAAATAAAGTAATAATTTAAAATTTACTACCTCAAGGATCCTAGGAGGAACAGTCACACCTCTTGGCCACTTAGCACAAATATGTTGATTTAAGAATAAGTGCACAGACAATGTGGGTTTTAATTTGAGTATGCTACCACACTGTAGAGTTCTCTATTCTACATGTGGGCAAAGAGCTTCTCTGGGAACTTGGCCATGGAATACCTGGAAACTTCTTTCGCCAAGCATCACTTATCAAAGCTTGAAAATCGCAAGTTCCCAACACCTAAAATTAGTTCTCAAAAGGTGTACTCATAGATAATCTTGAGAGAGAGTAAGCACAGTAGCAAAAGAAAGCATTGAATTTGGAGTCCACGTATCTAAATCTAGCTGCATGACTCGAGACTAACTACTCAAATTTCCTAAGACTCATTTTACCAACACCTAGAATGGCCACGATTATCATCCTCACTGGGCTCTTGTGAAGATTAGCTAAGACAATGCACAGGGTGCCCCTAGCAAAGGGCCTGGCAACTCATCAGGCACTCAGAAGATGTCAGTTTCTTCTCTTCCCTTTTAATTGATGATCTATTTACTGGGACAGAAACAAAATAGAATATGTGGGGCTCAGGGAATTTACGACAGTTGGTCAGACAGAAATCATACCTAGAAAAGGTGAAAAGGTGCAGAGCTACATATAGCCCGGTAAGATAAATATCTAGAAATGGTATGATTCATAGTGCTACAACAGTAAAGAAGAAAATGACTCTAGGGTGGGTGGGGGTGGCAAGGGAAGGCTTCCTGGAAGAATTTGAATCAGTACTTTGAGAATGGGTGGGAATTAGATGGAGAGAGATGAGCAGATAGGGCCAAGCCAGATATTAATAGATATAGAAGCACCTTACGAGAATGTACAGGGCAAATTCTGGTAATATTCAGAAAAAGACTGGTCTTTCTAGCAAAATTTTTGCATATTGCAATAGCTAAACATAAGGCTTTTGGTAAATGGTCATGGATCTTAAATGTTGGGCTAAGGAATTGGTCTTTATCTTGTAATGGAAAGCCAGTGAAAGCTTTCAAAGCAGGAAATGAACATAGCCAGATAGTATCATCTAGAGAGCTTGCAACTATACAACGTACACTCCCATGTTATGAGCCACGCCGCTGTGAAAAAAATCCCTTTCATTATACTAATACTTAGTAAATCACTGAAGACCAACTTCAGAACTCCAAGGAAAACATTTTTATGAATCAAAAGCTAAGTACAATATGTTAGCAATTAAATGAGATAACATAACAGCCGAGGCAGAACCACAGTCTTCCCCGCCACGGTTTTCAAGCTGCTGCAGAAAGAAATGCTTCTATCATCTTCCAAGTTATCAAGCCATTTTGTTTTGATTTTCGGAAGGCGGGGAGAGAAGAACCGAGAAGAGTTACTGAGGTCAACAGGATTCAAAGCTGTCTATTCTTTAATCAGAAGGAATTATTAAGGAGAGTTAAGAGGGAGATTTGCTCAAAACAAAACCGGGCCTGGGATGAGTTTCAAGTTACTGGGACTCACTTCCACACCAGAACAACAAACGAAGGTGTGTGGCTGGGAATGAGACTCTCACCACTGCTCTCTGCTGAAGTTTCCGGTGAATACCTCCCACGGCTACTTTATTTACTGCAGCTGGCCAAAGTTTTATAGCCTGTTTCATGTATTAAAATTCAAATGTGGAAAACATTACCAGTATCCTCCTTGAATTTTTTTTTTGTTGTTGTTGTTGTTGGGGGGTTAGGGAGGGTGGTTTTTTTTTTTTTCCCTTAAACTTTCTTTTTATTGTGGAATGTATCAAGCGGTCAAAGGCTAACTTCAGACTGACTAAATTCAAGAACTATTTCCTTTGTTCTTCTGTTTTTGTTTTAAAATTCATACCCGTTAGCACAGGAAAGATATGCCAATCCAATCTCCTTCACACACATTAGCATTTTGGGCTGAGGAATCCAGATTCTGGGGACTTGCCTGATGGTTTTCAAGAAGAAAGGAGAAAAGACTGTAAAACCCCATTTGGTTCAAAGGGCAGGAGGTTGGTGACATGCCACATCTTTGGAGTTACGCTATGATCTGGTTGGCTCTGTGGCTGTCCTTGATTGAATGAATATTAAATGTCTCCAGAGAAGAGAACAGGAACTTTTTTCCCCATCAGCAAAACTGGTGGCTTTACTGCTTCTGTATAGTTTTATTCCAAAATCAAATCAAAGAAGTTTCTGCGTAACATTAGCGAATTATTTCTCTTTTCCTACTGTTCTATTCAATCTTCTCCCTTTCCCTTCCACCAGGGTCAGTCCAACTTCCCCTATCCAAAAATAATCCTAGTCTTTTCCTCCCATTCCACCTCTGAATCTGATCCAAAGAAGAGGCAATTCAAAGGTCAAATAGTTGCAAAAAGCATTTATGTATAGTTTAATATTTTAAAAAACCACTTAACCTACATCTGGTATTTAAGAACAAACTTCACATATTTATGAAAAAGACTGTCTCTGAAGCAATGCCCTGAGCGCATGTTACATCCGTTTAACATATGCAAAACGAACACAGCTACAGAAATTAAACCATTTTTCTCTTGATTGAGAGCAGATATACAGAAATGGTTGTAAGTCACAGATCTGGCTTTTAATAAAGCCAGATTTCTTAATTAAAAGCAGTATTGTTTAAACATTGTAGTTTTAAAAAAAGAGCTGTACAAACGAAAAGCTCATATTATATGCATCCCAAGTGTATTTAACACATTACCTGAGGCCAGGCTAAATTAAAATCTAGACTTTCTTTTTGTCAATTCTTAGCAACTGCCATGCACAGACAAATAATTTTTACTCAATGATGAATTTTTAGGGTAGAGGTCAAAGGAAAGAAAAAAAGATTTAACTTTGGCATTCAAAAGTATCTTTCCACATTTTAGAAGTGAGTTCACTGTTTCTATTTATAAACCAGTATTTTTGGTTTCAAATTGATTGCAGGTTTCAATATTATATCGTTCAGAATGGTACTCTTAATCTTAGTCTTTTATTAAGAGAAATTGAAAGGAAAACAGAAGAATACTATTGAGCAAGAACTTAAAAGAACTTCCTAAGAATTTGCACTTATTGTGTATTTCCTTTTGGAACCACCTTTACACAAGACATACTCAGTGAAGATGGAAAATAAGTTTTCATCCAAGCAACTTTGAAAGAGGTCAAGGACAAAATAGGACACCAAGGTGTTGGTGATCAGGCAGGAGTTTGTAAGGAGCAGAAGTACACAGAATCACTGATAAAGTTAAATTTCCACCCATGTGGTCACCACTTTAATGGTCATCACTTAACATTTTGTTAAGAAGAGTCTCTGAATCTTTGTAATCATCCAAAAAAAAAAAAAAAAAAAAAGAGAGAGAGAGAAGAGAATGCTCTCTCAAACCCTTTCCAAACTAATGGGCAAAACTGAAATCCCAATTATAAAACCAACAAATCTGCTTAACTATTACTGGAATAGAGACTTATTCATAAATAGGTAATGGTAAAGCTACTCTATACATTAAATTACACAGTCCTATGCCATGTATTTATACACCAAAAAATACAGCATGTATTTCTATCTATCGTATTCAGGATTGAAAGACATTATTTTGTCCTCTTAAAAAAAAATACAATCCATTCATATTTGAAATACTAGCGATGTAACATGAACTTAAGTTGTGTCTTTTGGTCAATGTCACCAAGATAGATAATTTCAAACACCAGCAATGACCCAGCAATTCACTCCTCAATGAAAATGTGTGTCCACACAAAAACTTGTACATAAATGTTTACAGGAGCATTATTTGTAATAGCCACAGAGTGGAATCAACCCAAATGTCCATCACCTAATGAATGGATACATTTAATGTGGTATATCCATACAATGGAATATTATATGACAATAAAAATGAATGGAGCTATAATATGCATAGGTAAATATTGGGTGCATTGTATGTTAAATGAATTATATCTCAACAAAGCTGTTTTGTTTTTTTTTTTTTTTAAAAAAAAAAACAACAAACCAGTAGTAGTATTTACTCCTAAAATTCTAATTCCATATGATAACTAGAGAGTCTACAAATGTCATCACTTACCATGAGCGAATGTCTGTTGGCTGAAAGAAGGCCGGTTCCATACCCTGAGCCCAGACCACCCATGGCTCCATTATGAGAAGGTCCGATGATTCCGTGCATGTCCCCGTGACTGCCAGGCATAGCTGTGGATGGGCCCACTGCATGATTCCGGAGAACATGAATAGCATCATCCAGTCTTTCTAAACGATCTTCAATTCGGCTTTGCTGTTGGTTAACAAACAATTTGACTTAGTTTGAAATGCATGCCTAAATTATATAAGCGAAACTTTAGCGGACAAAACCACACTTCGAATTTCTAAATATATGTCTCTAATAAAGTATATTGCCCTCAAAAATATTAAAAATAAATAGTATTGTTCCTAGAAACCTGGTGGAAAATGTTAATGTTAAAATTATAGTAACATATATATGCTATACTATAATATGCTTGAAAGAGATTTAGATTTACTAGAAGACAAAAACATTTATTGAAGTTAAAGAACATTCTGGCAGGTATTAGGTTAAAGAGCTTAAAAAATTAATAATATAAAGACGATCTATTTATAGTCTCCCAATTAAATTATTTTCTTGAAAGTATATTTCTTTGGTCTCCCCTGTGGCATGTGGTACATAAGTATCATCAAGTCAGAGACAGGTAAAAGAATAAAGATTATAATTTCTTACCGAGTATTTTAATCTGTGTTTCTTGCTTTCTATCTGTCATCAATACTAGCTTGTGTGTATCTATGTGTGTGTGCCTAAAAGCCCCAAAATGGTTATCAAAAAAAATTTTTTTTTAAAATTCTGTCTGAGACTTCAAGACTAAAGAATTACAAAGGCTTAAATCAATTGTTAACTGAGGGCTTTATTTGATTTCGAAGCCCCTACTCTGGTATAGAATTCACTACCTTATACAACTGAAAACCACCCAACCATTTTTTATACTTGCCTTTGGGATCCTAGTTTTTGGCAACTAGACAAGGCCTATAGTATAGTTTTTGGTGAAGAAAAAGGACATGTAGATACATATTCATTTTTTTCACTGTGATCAATAATGATATCAGTTACTACTTTCCAAAGTGTCCATTAAAATATACCATCTCATTGGATCCTCATTCCACATGTGGACAGCAGGCAGGGAAGACATTACTGTCCCTTACATATAGATGTGAAAATGATGCTCAAAGAAATCAAGAGAATTAATTACTCAGTATCAGACTGTCAGGAAATGGTAAAATTGGGGTTGAAACCCAGGTCTTTTGACTTTAAATCTAGTGCCTCTTTGTACTAGGTCTTGCTACATTCTGCTTTGATTTCCAATGGGCTGTGCAAACAGATGTACCAGCTCTATTGCATGAGAAAAATAATTTCTAATTATTCTATACTGACAGGAAGAATGTGTGTCTAATATAGTTAGTCTACGGTATGGTGCATTTTGATTTGGTGGGCTTAGGAGTTAAACCACCTCTCTAGACTGCTAGCTTTGCTACTTATTTGACCTTGGAAAAGTTAGGAAGCTTCTTTGAGTAAATGCTTTTTAACTTATAAAAAAATGGGAATGACAATATATACTTCTAAGTATAAATGTAAGCATGAATAGAAATCATACAGTGCCTATTATACTTGCTGGCTCCCAGCCTCTGGGTGGAGAGAGGAGTTTCTGCCTGTGAATCCCTTCTTGAGAGTTCTGAAGTCAAAGATAATTGAAGCTGCAGTTGCAGTCCACAACTGCAAACCTAATCTCCATGGTTCTACAGTCGGACAAAGCCTGGTTTTGAATAACCGATGGAGGTAAACACTAAAACCACCAGGGGCTATTTGGATAGTGGTCTGCAGGTGAACTGGGCTGATTCGTGCATACGTGTGTCGCCGTGTGGTTGCCTTTATTGGCTAAAACGCACAGATGCATGATTCATGCACTCCAGCAAGGAAGAACACAACAGAGGAGAGCAAACCACCTTTGCGATTTTCATTTTTAGATTTTTCTTCAAGAGTAAGCCAAAAGGGAAGAAAGGGAATCCTGGATCACTGACAAGAAAACATTAAGTTAAATAGATCAATCTATGCCTTCTTTCAGGTTTCATTTCAATATATGGAGGAAAAAAGGAAAACTCAACCCTGAAGGACTAAAAGGCTTTTCCCACTTACTGCTGCTCCTCCCTGGTTGATTCATGTACAGACTGACTACTGCATAAACCAGTGCTGTTTCTTGCATATTTCTGGCCTCGTCCATCAGGAGTAGAGAAAGACTAAAGTGTCAGACACTGAATCATCATGTGAGTATTTATAATATTAATTATGCCCATGGAAATTTTCAGCTATTGCCTCTTGGAAGAGTAGGCATTTCTTTACCACTAATGATATGACTGGATTTCTATGAGATGCAAAGTGAATGAGGAAATAAACGGTAGACTGCTTCTTCAGAGATCAAGAGGAAACCTCCTATAAACCGGTTGTCCTGGAAAGCAAGGCAGAGGTATGCAGATCAAATGTTCTGACCATGCAGCTGAGCTGGAGCTCCAGCACTCTGGTATCAGGAAAGTGACTTCATGATTGACAGGGATCCTTCCCAGAGATGGGGAGGAGGCCATGATCCTTCCAGGATTTTAATCTCTTATCTGATCCTAGATACTTAGAGCCCTGGGCTTCTACTGTAGTAGCATGTGGGTTACAATCCGCACACAGGAACAAGCATAGTCTGGTACCTCTGGCTTCAACCAAGCTTGTGTGTTTAATGTTGACCTACAGTCACAACTAGCAAAAGTAAGAATCTTGAAGAGTGAAGTGGATGTCAAAAGAGAAGCAGGATCTGAAAATGGGTAGAGTGAGCAGATGAGACATACCAAAGAGTGTAAGGGTCCTTCATAATTAGGAGACGATGAGGCCTGTCCTCCATTTCTAGACCAAACAGCTGTGCCTGCTGATATTAAAATGGGAATTATAATTAGATCTACAGAAACTTAAAAACAAACTTATCAATATTCCTAACAGTCCTTTTACAAATAGCAATGCTGCTTCTCATTTAAACAGTAAGGTAAATGCATGTAAACTTCCCATACAAGAATTCTGGGGCAAGGAAAATATTTCCAATGTAAAATATGTAGACTTTACATAGACTCACAATTCCCTCAGGCTGCCTCCTAAAAGGGAACGTTTAACTGATTCTGAATTTTAGCAAGTAGAGTTCCTACTCTAACATTATAGAGTCAAAGTACTTTTAAGAGTACAAAGGAGGGGTTTTGCTGGACTTTCATGCAAGGCCAGTTTATATTAAAACAAGATTCCTCTCACCAATGGAAAATAGCTTTGCTGCTTGTTTTAAAAATCATCTTTAAGAAAAGATAAACCTTCCAAAACTTTTTAAGAAAATAAGATTAGTTAGCAGCTATCCACTAAGCCAGAAATTTAGAAACTCAATATAACAGTAACAACTAAGAAGTTTCTTCTGAAGAAAATAATTTTTTTATGATTCACTAAACTTGAAGGTAAAAAAAGATTCCTGTGAGAATACATATTGCATGTCTAACCTACAAAATAAAAACTGCTTTTAAATTTAAAATAATACACATTTAGTGTAGAAAAACTCAGAAAATACATAATTCAAGAAAGGAACAAATAATAGCTATGATCTCACTGAAGTCTCATGCCCCGACACTGTTAGCACTTTTAAAATCCATTCTTCCTGTCTTTTCTGGGCATGCATGTGTATTTTTATGCTAAATAAAAATAGAATATTTTGTTCAATTACTTTTCTTGACAGAATTTGGACAGAGCCGTCGGTGTGAAAATAGCAATCTGTCCCCATATTTGCATCTTCATAAAAGTTCTTTCTTCCTAACATGTGGTCTTCCATGATGCATTACCAGGACCCAAAAAGTGGCATCTCTAGCCTTGTTTCCGTGCCTTCAACCTAGAGCATGCTGCTCAGGTTAAGGGTGCTTGTGGTGTCTTCCTGAGTGATTGTGCATCTTAACTTTCCCTCCCATCATTAACCTGGGAGTGGACCAGCAGATTCTCATCCAAACTCTGCTATTACTACTGGTGTAACCTCAGCAGATCATGCACCCTTTTTGGCCCTCAGCACACTCATCTGTAAAATCAAGGCATTAGACTACATTAGTTGTTCTCAAACTTTATTAGACCACAGAACATTTTTTTTTTCCAAATTAGAACACAGATGTAATTAGAGCTGTTTTGTTTGAAATGGGGAACTTGGAGTTCCACCTGCTCAGACTCTCCATCCCTTGTTGTCTCAAAAGAGGACACTGACACTTGAGATCATTTTTCAGAGCCTAAGAATCTGGTAGTGAACCAGGAGAGTACAATACTGAACTTGACTTTCCATTTCCATCCTGGGGAATGATTCATTATCCTCTGGGAATCATCTCAATTTCTTCCCAGTTTCAATGTGGTCTCTCTGGGCATGGACTTTAGGATCTAGCCACTCCTCTCTCTGTTCTGTGATCCTCCCATATCACGGAGGCTTGGAAAAGGCTGCTATTAAATCCCACCTAAGCTGTGGCCATCGCTTCTCGAAGTTTTACAGCAATCTGAAACCTCCCATTCTCTACTAAGGAACCCAGTATATGCTGGGTCATGTGAACACTGCATGCAAGGAATACCAGATGGTTCGAGGAGGCAACATTTAGGTAGGTGACTCCAGTATAAATTACTGTAAGATCAGGTTTCAATCAGGTACAGATTATTTTTTTTTTTAAAGAAGCCACCTGTCCTTCCATAGAGCAGAGAAATGCAGTAGGCAAATGGAAACGTTTATATTCCAAGAGAGATGAGTCTCTTAAATGGATCTCTGAAAAGTTAAATGATTTACTGACATAGTTCTACAATTCATAATTATTCAGTTTGAAGCCATAGGTCATGCTGATCTGTTATGTTGTAGAGTAAAACATCCCCTTTACTCCACACAATTATTTCACAATGTACTTACAAAACTATAGCTTTCCCCAAACATTCCAATGGTATGTACTTTAAAGAGGGAATTCAGCAAACCCAAAATTCCTACAGGAAATGATCCATTTAAATAGTCTATATTTGGTGACCATATATTCTACATTCATATTCATGACTGTATTAACTGAGTTTATTCATCTGAGATGTTTTATTGGAGTCTGTTTTTCTGCTGTTGGGTGTTTTCTGCAGAACTAAGAAAAGATTCAGAAATATGTTTTCCATGTGCCCGTGTATTCTAAAAAGACCATTTAATTTTTAAGAAAAGGTTTGGATGTAAACGACTGTACTTTTACAGGGTAAACTATATCTCCCACCTCTTTCTATTTGTCTATTTAGGAATGTCATGTTTTGGGATTTTCTGGGGAGTGAGTTTTCAGCTTTTAGCGCAGGAAGTATAAGGGGCAAATCATTCTCATAAACTGTTATTATGATGAAATGACATTTAAAATACACTACCTGAAAGAGAGGGAGGAGAGCCAACAGGAGTTGAAGGGTTTGATGAAAAGCTGTTGTTAGTGTGATCTGGAGAATAGATCTTAAAACAGTGGGGAGAAAAAAAAAAAACAACTCTCATTCATTCAGAATAAACAATGAACATTTTCTAAACTACAAAATTGTCAAAGCAATTCACCCAAAACTTACAAGCAGTAAAAAATGCATTTAACGGTCAACAATAGTATCAATATTCTGAAATGGAAAACTTAACAATTTTTCAAAAGAAGAATTACTGCTTTGTATGGGATGGTGAGAAAAGAACAGGACTGGAGCGAGCAGACTTCAATTCTAACCCTTTGCCTACCAACAGCTGGCTGCATGGCTCAGGGCAAGCCATGGCGATACCCTGAACTCCCCTTTCCTCTTCTACAAAGTCAGAGCATGGGCAGTATATCATTTTTGTTTTCCAACTCCTTTACTATGATTAAGGCATTTGATTCCATGGCAAGAGAAGGCCCAGATTAAATAAAAACTTTTACTTAGAGCACAATGTTAATACAGGTTGAACTTTTTTTAATGTTCCCAATAGTAAAGAAAAACCAAGTAAAGAGACAAAGTCTTAGAGAAACAAATCTCCACCTACATTTGTAAATGACTATGCTTAGCTTTTGAAGAAAATACCAGATATACTCCTTCTCAGGCAAATCAGGTATGCCATTTTTGCACTAGGGAACATGAAAGAAATGTTCAATTCTAGCTTCCTGGCAGTGGCTGGGCAAAGCAGAGAAGCTGAGTGCCCCAGGTGCCAACTATGTGACAATTTTTCATGTATCTCAGTTATTGTCCCAAATATCTTTTCCAAAGTGTTTGAGAACTGTCCTTTGCAAAGTCAGACTTAGTTGGCCAATGAGCGCCCATAGTGCTTTAGAGAAAAATAAGAAATCAAGACAGGAAATCTGTAAACCTAAAGGCCAGGAGAATATCCGACCATCCATAACAGAATGCAGCTTAGTATTACAGTGAGAAGACAAGATGAAAGAGACTATCCCACACAATGGAAGCTTCAGAGCTTTCTCCTCCAATTTTCCAATGATCGTTATGCAAGAAAGCCAGCGCTTTCCAAAAATCCAAGCTATTTGCCATTCATTTTCTAAAACTCCAAATGTCCACTTCTGATTAAAGTTCATCCTTCTACAATGGTACAGATGGAGTCCAAAGTCAATATTTCCTCACCGAAGCAAGTGCTTTCCCTAGAGCATCTCCAGTCTGGGAGCTGCCTGCCGCCCCGCTTCCTCTGTTTGCTGCAAAAACAAAAGGCAAAATATGAAAACCAGGCAGTGAGACGTCTAACAATTTTCTATTCCTGGTCCATTTACTCACAATTTAATTGCATTTTTAATGCTAATTACAACACATTAATCTTTAATTAGCATTAATTTGTTTGCTGAGGTAGATGTCAAATATATTCATGTTACCTTTTTTTACAGATAAAATATAAACCTGACACCTTGGTTTAAAGATAAACTGGTTTACTTGCTATTACTTTCCCTCTTGCTGCTTAGGAGCAGCGAGTGGGGGATGGGAACAAGTGAGTATCTGAGGGTCACTGCTAAGTATGTAGTAGTTCCAGGTCTCTGGGGTCCACAAAGTTCAGTTTTTCTTTGTATTTTTTTATAGTAAATTGAAATATCTGCACGAATAATTTACACTTGTTTTCAAATAAACAAAAATTGGATACAGAGCAGAAAAGGGTGTTCCTCTCAGAGATCCAGTCAGTGAAACGAAACCAAAAAAAAAAAAAAATCTACAACAGGTTTGGCTATTATAACTGGGAGAGAGAATATTTTTAATTAAACTTTTATTTGTAATTATTATGGGTACATAATAGTTGTATATATTTATAAGGTACGCATGATGTTTTAATACAGGCATACAATGCATTAATACTCAAATCAGGGAAACTGGGGCATCTATAACCTCAAGCATTTATCATTTCTTTGTGTTAGGAATATTCTGATTCCATTTTTTGAGTTATTTTAAAGCATACCCTAACTTATTGTTAATTATAGTCACTTTGTTGTGCTATCAAATACTGTTCCTTCTATCTTAACTATCTAACTATATTTTTGTACCCATTAACATTCCTACTTTATCCACCCACCCCCCTCCAGCTATCCTTCCCAGCCTCTGGGGTAATCACCATTCAGAAAATATCTTTAATGTTTTAAATAACATATATTCTCCACATAGTTTAATCTGTGATCACACTAAAAGAATTTGAACTGTTATGCTACTAAAAGTCAATATGGTCTCAAATTCCAGAGATAAAATAAGTGTATATATTCATGAAGTTTATCTCTACCATCTTGAACACTGGTATTTTTATCTACAAAGTAGATGAACAAAGAGTACTGTTAATAAAAGGCATATATTCCAGTATATAATTCAAAACCAGATCTATAAAACACATATCTTTTGAGGGTATCTTGCCTAGTAAATAAGTGGTTAAAATAGGATACTTGGTGTTCTTCTGAGGTCTTTAGAACTAATAGAATGCCTAGAATTTGGGGTATGTTGCTTTTGTTATGGCTTCAACATTAACAAGTAGACACAGTATTTAAATAAAACCTAGTGAAGGTCCAGGGGAAGATACTTTTCACTACTTTGTGAAGTAAAAAAAGGAAATCTTAAATGAACTGATGAATGCAAGCAACACTTTATTGCACACACATAATTTTAAGAATTTTCCTGCCCTTGGACCAAGAGAGCCTTCTTTCTAGCAAATGTGTTATCCTCACTTTCCAGACCTGTAAAATGCAGTGGTAGAGTCAGATCTCCAGTGGCCAAATTCTCTGCTTCTCCAGGTCATAATTTCATTTTCCTGACCTCTGCTTAGCAAAGATTATGCTTGTTATTTTCACATACTTACACAGACATGTCAGTTAGATAATCTTTTGGTATATGTTTTATTTGGTTCAGAAAACCCATACCCATATTCATTTGTTTAATACTCAAATACTGAAAGAAAGCTGGTAAATGATATAAGGAGGAACACAATTACCTTGTGACAAAACAAACTTTTGCACATCACAAACTTATGATATTAAAAATACATGGGTTACTAATACTTCAGATTCTATGTACTACATAAACAACATTTTTTGAAGTGACTATCTGACATCATACAATTGGGTTAGTGGAAGTAACTTAAATATCAAGTGTATTAAAAGTATTTAATATAAGACAAAAGGTAACAAGTTATACCTAGTATAAAAATGAGAAGAATTTCTAAATTAAGAAGTTCTTTAAAAACTAAAAACAAATTTTTAAAGAGAAAATAATAGAGATGAGAAAATATAGATAGCACTAACATTTTTTCCGCATGCATTACCATGGTATCTGGGAGCACTTATTTGGTTTTTTTTTTTTTTCTAGAAGCAGTATTTCTTTTCATTATTATATATCTAAAAATTAAATTTACCAGTCAAAATAATTTGTGATATCTGCTTGATTTGAATATAGATCTTTATAAAATAAAAATTCAGAGCCACACTGGAGAAAAAAAAAATCACATTATCTAACTAAAAACCTAAACCAAAAAAGAACAAGATATTGTTTCAATTACAGATAAAATTTGCTACAGTAATACCTTTCAAAAGATTAATTCTTCCTTTGAACAACTTTAAAATGAAGATAATAAATTAAAAAAAAATTTTCATGAAACCAAATTATTGAAAACCAATAAAAATATTTTAGGAACACTTAAAAACTAATTGCATATAGCATATATCATATTTTAAAGAAGAGACAAAATACGATCATTCTAATTTCTTTAATACTATACCTTTCTAACTTTCTATCAGTTTCTATTTTATACAGGGAGATAAGACAACGCAGGAAATAAATCAACTCCTTACCTCATCTTGTCATGAAAATATTTCAGGAAACTACAAAGGCTACTCACAAAACCACTGATAAGAACAGACTATTTTTTAACATGAAGCCATTTACCTTGCAACAGCTGGGGAGCCTAACCCAAGGGCTTAAATTTCAAAGCGGTTTACTGGGGGCTAGTTCACCCTTTCACTTGGAATGCCTTTTGTTCTGTTCCAGGAAACACTGGAGAAGACACATTTTCAAGATTCCCTCAACATGTTAAGCTACATGGGTTCTTCTCTTAAAGAATTCTCTTTTCATTTGTGTGATGGATATATCAAAGGGCACGATCAGAGAGTAAATATATTTGTAATGCCCCCCAAAAAATGCATCACAAATTTTTGTTTGTTTTTTTTTTGCATTATGAAGTGGGTCCTATTTAGCAAAAACTGATCAAATCTACCTTTTCAGCTTTCACGTAACAGGACTTGATCACTATTGGAGGCCTAAGTTTTTGTCAAGTCATATTATTAGAAATGATCAAAATGTCCAAGAAGCAGAAATAAAGATGAAAACTATGACCTTTGCTTGATAAAGACTGTATTGCTTTCTTACGTTATTTTGGCTCAATTTCTCTTGCCCAGGAGAAAAAAAATAATCCATCTTTAAGTAGAGCTGTAACATAAATATGAGTGGAAGATGAGCGATTATTAAGAGGAACTTCAATTTTGTAGGAGGATTTACTGCCTGCCCCCCAAGTATTGTGCAGAGCGCTTGAACACAGGTGGTGTTGCTGGCTAGAAGATGAAGCAGAAAAAGAGCTTCATCTCTCTCTCTCTCTCTGTTTTTTTGTTTTTTTTTTTTTTGCTGTTGTTGTTGTTGTTTTAAATAAAGCAAAGGTCAGAAGATACTATCTTGGGCTACAAGTTGGATCACCTTCTCTCTTAGTCTCAGCTTTGGGGAGAGGGCAATTCCCATTAGAACACACCCTTAACACTGGGATGAATGGTGCCTGGGGATCCGCTACTGAAAATCGGAATCTGGAAAACATGTTCCCTCTTTACAACACACCCAGAACCCAAGGCCGAGAACATACCATGAAGGCATCAGAGGAGTCACTGCCTGGGAGAATCACATGTGCTTTAAAAATAGGTCTTCCGAGCTGTGTCTGAGTGACCCTCATGTTATTAAACGATCAGAAGCAGCACAGCAATGCCACAAGTTTGTTTATAAAGATGACAAAAAAGGGAACACTTCCAGCGCTCCTATTACAACCATCTTAGAACGAAAACTCCAATATATTCTACTACACACTAATTTTTACCAGGAGGGATTCCTACGCATCTGGGGGGTGGGGGTGGGGGGGAGTCAGGCTTCCTGACCATGTGCAGGAAATGGATGAGAAGACTTAAATCAAACTAGTTTACTGTTCTCCATTGGTGGTCTTTGTAACTAAGATGCCCTGACACTGCTGGATAAAATTCATATTGCTCTTACGCTCTCTGCCTGCTCATCACCCAACTGCATCTGAAGGCTCCAGATTCTTGTGAAATACAAAGTGAATATTATGTGACTACTCTAATAATAAAATTACTGTGAAACCAAGTCCTCAAGGGGAAAAGGACATAATGTTTCTACGAGAAAAGCCACACACTAAAATGCATCATGTCATACAAACATGTCATTAGAAGTGAAAGTTGTAAACCGGATTAATTCATGAACCAGATAGATATTCCAGGGTAATCTTTAGCATATGCTGTATTAAATCAATCTCGCTAGTCTGTTCCTTCAACACTGTTTGGTTTGAGGTTTAAAAACATGGGAAATACCATGTATTAGAAAGCAGGCCAGTTAAAGACTAATAAAACAATAATAGTTATTATAACCATTATGCTAGTTATATGCCCAATTCCCTCTGAGGGGAGGGGAGGAGGTGTAGCCTCCAGTCACAGGAGGTCACATCCTGTGAATGTATACGGATGGTATCTCCCACAGGGGGAGGCTGAGGCACTGTCATCCTTGAGTAGTCTCAGTGGACTGTGCTATATTAGGAGGTCCTCTTCTTTCTTCTGACCAGGAAGAACTATTGGATATCATTGCAAGTAGGGAGGAAATATGGGACAGCAAAATGTATGTGGCTACTATCTTACAGTCATTTCTATTCTTGACAGCTGGTATCTAATAAAGTACGTGACACTTCCTCCTCTGTACGCATGCTTAGACGCAGAGGCACTTAACTGTACTGCTTTTGAGATATACCCAGCAGCCATGAAAGAGTTTTAGGAATCCACTAGAAGGGCACCGATATTGCTAACTGCCAAAGCCTCCAACAGTTTCTCTCCTTCACTGGGTGCTCCACCCGCTGAACAACTATGAGTCCATGCTGTGTCCCATACATTACATCCGTATACTTCTAGGGTGCTTAAGAGACCCTCTCAATCTAGAAATGTCTAATCTAATCCCCAGAGTTTGTTGGCAAGCCTTGAGAAGAAAGTGGGGAACAAAAGCCAAGAAAAAAAAAATTAATCCAAAAATCCGAAAAATAAGAGAAGAAAGGGGTAATTTTTTTAAAAAAATCCCTCATTAATGTAATCTGAAAAAGCTTTATCCTTTCTAAGGGCCTCTCAAAAAATGATACTCTGTATTACAGGGCAAAAGAAAACAAAACAAGAAATGGTCACTCCCCCAAGCCAAACTAACAAACCTCATGGAGCATCTTCCATCTTCGAGATGCAGAGGACAGGGCAAGAAGGGGAGCATGTTCACAGAGAGCAGACCTTCTGAGAGCGCTAGAGCTAATGTCTCACCCCGCAGGAAGTGTGTTCTTCTAGCATTAGTTCAGGACAACTGCTGACCACCAGGAAGACATTATAATATGATCCTGAGACACAGGCATCGGTCTTCTTCTGAACTGAAAAAAGCAGCTTCCTAAGATATCACCGCCATGTATGAAAGGACTGTACTGCCTTGCAACTTTCCACCAAGGAAACTTGGAAAATGTGATGTCCATGTGTTAGTGCTTGAATCCCATTCTTACGGCATTAGTATTGCTTACAGTCATTTTCTACAGAATCGTGCGTAATCTCAAACATGTGTCAGGCTATGTGTTCCCTATTTACCAATTATTTAATTAGCTCTGTTTGTTCTTTGAGATACAGGCAACGTAATATTTCTTTATTTCCTGCATTTCAGAATGAGTGAGTATATGCCAAATATTTTCAAAAGTCTACAGATGTATCCTATTAATCCATACTGTTTGTTAGGGAAGTATCAGTAACATCAGAAGAGAGAGCTTCTCTTCTTGTTAAACAGACACGCTGCCTTTGCTGACTTCCACCACACTCGGGAAAACCAAACCGAAGCCTAAGAGAATTAAAGTGCAAAGAAGCATGAGCCACTTGGACGCTATGCAATAGTAAGACTTATTATTACCATGCTTAAACTTTCCTCTGCGTTTTCACTTAAGCGACTGAAGGACATATTCTTTTAAAGGAGAGCATTCTAGAATGTTCTCTCTTAAAGTAATATCTGTATTTTATGCAAATTAATAAAGGTCTGCTCCCCACAAAAGCTGAATTATCATGTCTACTTACTTCCTGAAAGATTATGAAGCTTTTTTACATTCTGCTGGTGGATTTTGACAAGTACACCCATTATTGTGAAATAAATAACTGATGCTATACATTTCTTAAAAAGCCTTTTTCTGGGTTCCAAAAAGCTTATACTCTTCTATTTTTAAAGTATAGCTTCTTTATTATTGTCTAGACCCTTCCACAGGGCCCTGTGGTCTATAAAGTTAGTCCATCCTTAGTGTGTGGCTGAACCCTTAGCATACTTCACTCTGCCCAGAACAAATGAGTAGATTTCTCCTGTTCATCTGCAACACGACCAGCTTAAACCAAGCAAACCTCGTTCCCAATGAGACTCGTGGCTATGCTGCTCACAGCTCATGAATTTTGATTACCCCATATCCTGATACCTCCTTCTTTCCAACTCACAGTGCCTCTCTCCCAGGAAGACTGTTTTGCAAATCAATCGACAAGACTTTTTTTCAAACAGTGCCTAAGTATGTTTTCCTCAATTCAACATTTTGCTCCACCTTCATACCTTCCTAAAAAAAGAAAATTACTCAAACCACAAGTAGACAGGAAATCTGCCATGTAAGAGGATGAATGACCGGTCATCCTTCTTTCTAACCAGACCTCATGACAGCAGAAAGGGGCTTTCCATTTGCCAAACCACACTGAAGTGAAATATGCTTTTCTCACTCTTTCAGTTCTGCACTGCTTTCTTTCTTCTTGTTTTTCAAATTGCCCAAAAGTGCCTTGATAGCGAACCAAACTTCCCCATGTGACCTCTGTCCATAGCTCTCCAAGGTCAAACTGATGTAACACATTTGTAGAAGCTCGGTTCGCAAAAGTTACAAAAATGGAAACTCTCTCCTCAATTTGCTTCTTAGTGAGACATGGCAGTGGAGGGGCTGTGAGATGGCTCATCTCAAGTGTGAAATATATTATTGAATAAGCAGGGAGGGTATTATCAAGGCAGAAATTACATCTGCAACATTTCAAAACACATCTCTTCTCCTTCATCAAAAATGTTCCCACATAAGTGATTCACACCACTTCCCGAAGTCCTATAGGCTCTCTAAGGAGAAAAAAACACTGCAGAGAGCTAAGGGGAATCAACAGTAGCATTATTCTGACACACGATCTTCTCTCAAAGACACCCTGAGTGTTCTCCCCACTGGCCCTCTGGGAGAGATGTTCGGGCCAACCAAAGATGGGTCTGAACTAGAACGAGAGGAAGTGGTGTCCAGTGAAGTCTGAGGCTGGAATGAGGCCCTGGTGCATTACGCCATGTTGCTCATTGGAATGCCAAGGTTGCCAAGGCTGATTCAAAAGCCGGTAGCTGCCTCCCCACCCACCCCAACTCTTTCCTCCAGGAGCAGCTTTACATCCTGCCTAGCCCTTCCCTCAAGGGGAGAGTGCTGGCCAGGCAACCACGTGTCCTGGGGAGAGTAGCACGATGGACATCACAGAAAATGAGAGGATGGTGGCTCAGTTCACGGCAGCAGCATTATTCTTAGGCCTTAACTCACTAGTACATTTCCTTGGGGAAAAAAGCAACAAACAACTTCTGGCCCATCGTGCCCAGGCATCTCCCCTCTCTTAAGTGAGCAAATACTTCTTCCACTCTGAGGGGCTCCACAGTGCCACATTCTCTAGAAGGTCAAACTTATCTAGTTATTAACAGTCACCTGAGAATTTCACATAAACGAGTCTTCAGAAGACAGGGGCACACCATAGTTAAGAGCTCAGGACAATGACTGGAATTTGAGAAGTGGTCAATAACTACTATTATGCATTATTTTGCCCCCACCTCACTAATCTTCGATGGCTCATCTTAGGAAAAGTTCACTTTGTTCACTATCTTTTGAGTGTGAGGAGCAAGGCTGTTTTGGTCTATTTAAACCCTTATTTAATCCAATGACTCCCAAGGGACAAAGCAGCCAAATTTCAGTTTCTTGCGACCAAAAAAGTGATTACCGGGGAGCCAGTGATTATTTCTCTCTGCTTCATTTGTTTGTTCGATGATTATTTATTGTCAATCGCTGTCTGGTTTTGAGGGGGAAAGGAGGTCCTTCATTATGAAAGCCTGACACTGACTATTGGCATCAGAATCGGCATTTCCGTGACTCACCCATTATACTGTCTGTCCCGTTGGCAGGAGGCGTACAGGAAGAGGTGCTGTAATGGTTTGTACCACTACGATGGAAAGTGGACATCGGAGGAAGACTGGAATTGATGTCTGCTGAGGAGTGTGATGGATAGCTCTAAAGCAAGAAGCAGAAAAAGGAGGCCATATTCAATCATAAGGTATTTAGTGAGTTAGTTTTCAAATACTTCTTTCAGAACTCTCCATTTTGCAATGGACACAGCTCTTAGAATTTCCAAATAGCAAAGAATACATCTTGCTTAGATTTGACAGCTCTCATTTTTCAAATAATAAAATACATAGATACACAATTGGTTTGAGTTTGCATCACATGTGGGGGAGTATAATGACAACATAGGCCACCGAAATGGTCACAATCTCTACATCTACAAATTACTGCTTAAAATCCTTTCGGAGATTTTAGCAACCTAAAAGCCCATTCCTACTGTTATTATTATTATTATTATTTGGATTGCCTACTGATCAAGTGGAAAAGATTCCACTGTCTAATGAATAAAACGTTATGAACCACAGGGCTTACAGTACACTTCATCCTGACCTCCTGGACACTAAATGGCCAAGAGTAACCAATCTCAAACCTTCTTCCTGCCAAACTCGATTACCTTTCTGAACCCCAGAAACAAGAACGAAATGGTAAATAAAAAATTTAAAAAGTGCTAACGATTAACTATCTCTCTAACACATCAAGGCTACGTAAAGCCTAAAATTAATGACTATCTTGAATTAAAATTAGAACCTCAATGAACTGAGAATGGCTTATTTTGATTTATGTTCTTTCCTTATTTGTTCTCCCCATTAGCAGCTCACTGTACAGCTGACTATGAAATTATTGAGTTTAAGACTTACCTCTGAGTTCCATTATTATATCAGTTGTCCAAATAAGCTACATTTCTTGGGGCATATCCCAGTGCTTATAAGGTGACAAATTAGTTGCTATCTATTCATTCTACATATCTCCTTGGGAATAAGCAGGTCACTAAAAGGGACGCAGTGATTTGCAAGGATACACTGAGCTATTTTCCTTTACATGATAAAAAGGAGCTTCAAAAGTTGTTCTCACAGGCATTTGAATGTGTTACAGTTACGTAAACGAAAAATATTACACTAAAATATACTTTTCCTTCATATGTAATATATTACTGGGCTATATAGATCTTTATTTTATCATTACTGAAGATATTGTTAAAATTGTTTAATTTAAAATTAAAGATCGACTATGATGCTGATAGTAATGGGTACTTAAAGCCCAAGCATTTGCTTCTCAAGGAGTGAAACCTCAGTTCCTTGGGTGTTGCCCTATTCATTTTCTGAGACCCATCTTCAGTTCTACCTCTTCCTTGAAGATTCCCTTACCACTTCCAACTCTTCCACGCTCTTTTCTCTCTGGGTCCCGAAGCACTTCTTACATTTTGCACTGTGCCATTTAACAATTATATGCTGTCTTTCATTTTTTGCTCTTTCAAGCACATTTCGGCCTATGTTGTAAACTCTTTAAGGGAGGAGAATAGAGTTCACAGCTCTGCATCCCACAACATGTGGCTGAATCCTAAACATATAATTGCACTATATGCTCAATGAACAACTAGTTATCAGTTAGAGTTTAATAAGTAGTGGACTGAACTATGACTTACGTGAAAGACACCTAAATAGTCTAGGAAATGAATCTATATCTCAGAGCTAAGTCTGTCGATAACAGGTGGATGTCTTAGAACATATTACCTCTGCATGCCAAAAATAGACCAACTTAAAAAAATTCCATTGAAAAAGTTGAGATGATGCCCTTAAATCTTTCCAAGGTCCCAAAAATGCCTTACAATTTTTTAAATTTTAGGAACCTCTTTCCTTGACCACAAAATTCCTTATACCACCTGTTAAACTCATGTCTACTTGCCACTTAAAGAATACCAATATCCCAAGAAGTTCATGCAATTTTCTCTGAAGAATGGGATGGTCCATTCCATGGCACAACCAATCTGAAAGACTGGATAAGTCATGGAACACCACACTGAGGAGAGCAGGGACAAAGATATTTCTCTCTAGAGCTAAACACTATAATACAGTAGAAAAATAGAAACAAAATGTGGAAAAAGAAAAAGGGGGGACAAAAGACATAGTTTGATTTCACTTCTACACAGTCCTATTGGTTTCCAAAGAATAGACAAACTCCATATCAGTCCGAAGTATGCAAAAAAAAGAAAATTGTAAAAAATATTTAAATAACTATAATCATCAGAAGATGAGAGAGAAACAATAATCGCATCAATGAGAATTTTTGGACTCTTAACTTTATGCAAAATGGATAGTAATTCAGGATTTGACAAAGGGCTAATACTGAGTTCACAGAATAAAAAGAAAAACTAATCCCCGTAAGTTCTAGTGGGGAAACCAATGTAATCCACGTAAATCAGTATTTTTAGAGACTCAGAGAAAATTAGATGCTGAATGAAATTAATGAGATTTATAACTAGATTATTTTACAACAAAAAGTATCTTGAAAACTACTGTCACTCAGAGACATAATAAATACACCTCAGAGAATACTGGTGTTATGGCAATAATGTCTCTTTTAGAGCATTTAGAGATCAACCATAAGAGGTCCTCTTAGTCTCTCACTCCAGTTATTACTGTCTGTCCTGCTTGCTACAAAGCGACAAGGGTGACAAGAGTGTGACAAAGTGGTGTGGCTTTACATGCCCAGTATTTGTTTATTTTAATTATGATACCCAATGGTAGTGTATAGAGGGTCTATTTACAAAGTAAGTGTTGGAAATATTTCTATAGGTGATGTTTTTATTTGACCTGCGTGTTGATAATTTAAAGATTAGAAAAATATATTAACTGGTAGCACATACTACCAACATAAGAATAAAATAATGCTTTGGGTGAAGGCAGAATTTCACAACCTTGGTACTATCATCTTTTGTGCCAGATAATCCTTTACTGTGTAGGCTCTCCTGTGCACGAGAGTCTGTTTACCAGCAACCCTGGCCTCTAAACACTAGATTCCAGTAGCTTCTACCCCCTACTTGTGCCAACAAAAATGTCTCCAGACGTTGCCAGATGTTCACTGAAGGGCGAAATCCCCACTCCCCAGTTGAGAATTACCAGAGTAAAAGTGTATGTTGTGAAAAATAAAAGACAAGAGAACTTCCTTTATACTAAAATTCCAGATTCCTAAGGCTATTTCATTCCATCATGCCTAAATCATGCCAGACAGTGAGGACTCTATCCTATTTTTAAAAAGAACTCTGCCAACTCATTCTGTACTTAAATCTTCTACAACAACCCATTCCAAAGCTTAACCCCAACTCCATTCATCTGAGCGATTTTGTGTGTGTGTCTGTAACACAGTAGTGATTAGCTGCGGGATTCTATTGCAGACACTGACATTGCAAAGGGGATTTAAAGACTTAAAATTGGTGACCTGACAGTCACTGCTGAAATATGTGGATCTTAAGCTTTATAATTATACATTTTATTATAACAGGGCTTTAAGTGATGAAGGCGATGATGTTTCTAAAATGTTTTACCTTTAGAGATAATACTAACTTGGCCAAATGATACCCAAAATAATCCAGGAAAAGCTCTTCTTTTTCAAACGATCTCTTTGTTCAGTATGGGACTAACAAAATGCTATGAACTAAAATTGTCAGGCACTATCATTATTTTCAAGTGAAAGGACACCAACTGCTACTGTATATTCAAACTATTTCCAATCAGTGTCAGATTCTTAAAAGTCACTTCTGTGAAAGATTTTCAGATGGTTAAATACTGAAATTACAATAGTAACTAGATCTAATAATTCCATAGTTTCACTATTAGTGGGAAAATTCAACAATATACATTACCAGAGAGAGCTTATTCATTTCGCCTTTAAAACAAAAATCCTACTCTGAAATTTGCTAACTGATCATAAGAAGACTAAAAATCCTGTGCACAAAAAAGACTTCTGATCTAGTCTATTGGGTTACTACTTCAAAATGATCTTTCTCCTTGGTTGGTAATATTGTTTTGCTTCAGCAAAACTTTTTCTAAAAGGAATGTAGTTGGTTTCCATTTTGAAATTATACTTTTTGTGCATCAAAGCACATTTTGAAGATACTTCCCATGCAGTAGACTTGATTGGGATAAAATCAAATCACCTAACTCAAAATTCTAGACAATGGTAAGAAAAGAAAGAAAGAAATATAGGAAGAAAGAAAAAAAATCAAATAAAAAATAAAAAAAGAAAAATGAACATCCAAGAGACAACTGAAATTCTAATATGTTACTACAGTGCCAAGTATTTTTATTTGTAATTAAAACTTCCCATGCTTATAGGACACATGTAATTTTGATTATGTGTTCTTAGAGAAATGGAAAATGATGGTGGAGAAATAAAAATATTAGCCAAAAGAAATTCTAGTATGATAATAATTGAAAATTCTCTAAGCTTTCACTCTAGTATCTTCAAGTAGGAGGTGGGAGAAGAGGAAATTTGAAAGTAAGTCATCTGCTATTTTCTGAAAATGTGCTGAAATTTGAGATATTTGGGATTCATACATTAGAACTTGGGAGATGATATAAAAAGGCCAATTCCATCCCTACTATTTGCCTCTCAGGAATGTATAGGCTAATTGACCACAAAGTATCTCCATTACTAGGACCAACTAAATAGGTACATTTCAAGATGTCAGAAATCTTATCTTCTGGAATTTTTTTGGTTTTCAGAGTAGGATATATGACATATCTGTATGTCTACAGACTATATCTGTAGTGGTTGAGCAGAAGAGTGGGAACACCACAAAAATCCAGAATTATTTCCTTCATTGGAACAGAGAAAGAAACATAAATGCTGACAGAGAAGAAGAAAAAGTGGCAAATTGCAAGGTGTAGAGATATAAGTACCACTAAGGGTCATCGGATTTGTCATAACCACTTTGTATATGTAGGATTTGAGGTTCACAGATCTTTTCAGCTACATTATTGCTCAAGGGATACAAGTCTCATCCTACCTGCATCCTAAACCTAACTCATGATCTAGACTCTTTTCTCCATTTAATGACAGACTTAAATTCATCAGGGGATCTGGGCAGTGGTAGAATTTAAGGCTTAGAAAAAAGACAGCAACGTTGCTTCTTTCAGAACAAAGAGACATACTAGGACAGATGTGTAGGTGATGAACAGAGTGGAAATTTTTAGTAGTGAAACATGTAACATTCTAACACCCAGCAGTTTTTGCAATAAGTGAGGCAAAACAGAATATCAGTGGCAGATTGGGCTATGAATCAGAGTTAAAATACGAAAAATTGGAAATCTGATCTGTGCAGAAACCCCATGGTTGCTCTTACTGATGGGAGCATACAGAAAATATAAACTCTTTCCTTTGGGTATGTCATACAGGTCAAGGCGAAATGGAAGTGTTTACGTGTGATGTGTATAACCTACTACCACTCTGCCCTCCGTAGTCCTTCAGACAGCAACAAAATGACAAGGCACCGCTCTAGCTGAAATTCTGCAACTTAAATACAGTGTGTATTTATGAAGCAAAGCAAGCTGTCACTGTGATAAAGAAAGCACAGAGCAAAACACAATAAACAAATGAACAAGGACAAAGAGGATCTGGAAGGGTTTACAAAGGTGATTTGATCCTGTTATGCCTCTGATCAAAGAAACAATACAACTGTAAGAATAATGGGTGTGTGCCATTTTTGCATTTATTTGCAGAATCCTGGTGTGCCTGCATGCAAAGACAGAGGGAGAGATTTCATAAACTAGCTGTGTTATTCCCGTCACCATGCAAGTCTGTCTTACCAAACGTTCGTGTGGATGCAGGCTGCAGTAGCTGCTAGACTGTGGAATATGAGAAGAATTGCCCAACATTCCTCCATAGCCAGGCTGATTCATCCCACTGGAGGAACTCCAAGGGTCACTGCTGTGATGGCCATCTGTAAAGGACAAAGAAAACCATGACTTTTCTGAGGTATTCAGCCTTGCCCTTATAGAATAGGGTTTTTTCATATACTTGAAAATGACTGCCTGTTGTGTATTCATCTTTGTCTTGGTTAGCTGATTACATCAGAAGAGTCATCATTATTTCTTCCCAAGTGGCACTATACTGTCCAGCAAATATAAACATTTAACAAAGTTAAAGGATTCTTCGTAAAAAGTCAATTGGAAAAGAACAACAGAGCATGTTGCTACACAGAACTATGTCGAGTCAGCATGGCAATTCCTGCTAAAGAAAACATTTCTTAATAAGTCTTCTGACCTTTTTTTTTTTTTCCTATGAAAACCAACGAAGAAGTCAAAATGTTCCTAAACTTTGAGGTGAAAATAAAGTACTTAAGACATTAGAGAGTTGGCAAGTGTGCAAGGTTTGAAAACATATAAAGAAATTAGTAACATCTCAGAATTAAAGTGTTAGATATCATTTTTGTAAAATATGCACTGTAATTAAAATTGGAATTAGAATTAAATTATGGTGTGTATGGAAGAGAAGTCTCAGATGTATTGTTCTAGGTTATTTTATTTTTATTGTTTGGCACATAGGAATATAACTATCTTCAACCTTCAGTAGTAATTCAAGGAGTACATGCATATCGCAAGGTGGACATCATGCTAAAGATAATTTTGAGAGCCTCTGGATTTTATAAAATTATTTATGAGTTAAAAAGAGGTTTAAAATTATATGGAACTTATATGAAGTTATCTTTTTATATGATATTAACCTTTTGTTAACACCATATTAAAAACATTTTTTTTTCATTTTCTGGGCCTACTAGCCTAGAGGTTATTATTAGGGATTGCTATTGTTTGTTTGTTTGTTTTTTAATCAAGCCTAGGAGGAAAGACAATCTATATTACTGCTGAATTCATTCATTTTCCCCTTCTTTCAATAGTTTAATAAAAATTATTGAGTGCTGGATATATACCAGACCATCAGCTAAGTGTTAAGTGTATAGCAAGTATTGCTTTCTTGAAAATGAGATTATCTTCACCATAACATTTATTTAATAAAGGTCTTTTGAAAATTTAGAGGATAGGAAAGTGCAATCTGACACTGTATTTCTTGCAGCTCTTTTTCACTGGGTGTTTTAAATCCAGAAGTTAGAGTTTCATAATAGGCAGAATAGTCTATAGATTTCTTTCTTTAAGAACTATTGCAAGCAAAATCATGTCTGTAATTCTGAAAACTTTAGAATTCTAACTAGAAGATGGAAATGTAAGTTAAAAATAAGAGGCCACAGTATTGAATTTAAAATATGCCCCAGACAGTCTCTGAATATCTTTCACCTTAACTGCATATTCTTTCCAGTCCTGAATTCTCAGGGACCATGTACCCCTCTACTGAAGAAAGCTGATGTGAGATATGATCAATGATGTCATTGTTTCTGTGGTCATAATGTGAAAACACAGGATTTTTTAAAAAGTTATTATTCATATACTTTAGCTTTAGTCCTTAGATTATAGAAGTTTAAATGTCACCTTAAATTCAAATACAAAGTTCAAGATCACTAACGTCTTAAATAGATGGCACATGTGACAAATAGATTGAGAATATGTATCATTGAATAAGAGTCTCCTAAAACATTCTGACAACGTGATACACTGCGTGGCAATACATTTAGGATTGTTAACACAGAACACTCTACTCGATGCAGACTTATAAAAATACATATTTTACATAAATTATGCTTTTCACAGTAAATTAATATTTATCACATCTCATGATCTTGGCATAATGTTGTTTTGAAAGAATAGAATTAGACGTGTGCAAATTAATTGTGCTCATCATAAATGTCAACTCAATTTTTTTTTTTTTTGCTTTTTGGGTATTCATATGCAGAAAAACAAATTTGTTCCCCATATTTTGTGTGGTCTGTTAGGGAAAGGAGCCTACTGTTTTAATCTACCTGGCCTCTCCTACAACCTGCAAAATTCAAGAAAGTCACTTTCCCAGGAAGAAAGAAGAAATTTATCCTTCTGTTGATTTTCTCAATCAAAATCTCTTTTGAGCGACCCATCTTTGAGGTTGACAACCTCTGTAAGCACCTGTAGGACAATCTCTCCTACTGCTCACAAAAAAAGGGGGAGGGGCGCTGATGCCAAGGTAGCTACTGTTTACAGCTGAAGGTGATATGCCTTTTATCGTGGCACAAAATGCACCCAAGTGACACAGCCTGCTGCGCTCCTAGTTACACCCAGGACGGGTCACAAAGATAAAGGATCCCTGCGAACATGAGCTCCATTATTGTGTGGAACAAATTCTCTCTATTCCCGAGGGACCCATTTGATTCAATGTTATAGATTTTCCATGGAATTTCACATGTGAACTAACAACCTGAAAGAGCTAACTAACATGCTGAATGGAGAGAAGATAAATCTCTTTTAATCAGAATGATTTTCAGTGTGTCCACTACAATCTAAGCGAGATACCAGGCAGCTCCCTTGGTACTCTCTGCCCCAAGTGACCTCTTCTTCCTGTGACATGGACCCTCCAGGAGTAGCATAAAGAAGGAAATCCCATAGCATGTTGCCAGGGAATACACAAATAAGGTTTTCACACTCAGGGGGGGAAAAAAAAAGAGTGAAAGTTCTGTGCACAGGAGTTCTTGCTAAATTCCACATCTAAATTCAGGGTATTAACTTGGTAACAAGATCATCACATTTGAAGAATAAGTGCCATAGGAATGTCAGGGATGGAGCCCTTAGGGGCATCCTCCAAATGGTTCATTCTTAAAGTAGCTGCTGTCACTCCAAACATCTTGGTCTTTTCCAAGAAGCAGAAAGGGGTTATGTTATCAATGGCGAGATTAGAAACTCTGGTGGGGAGAGGGGAACATATCCATCTACACTTAATTAAACACACTGGACAATTAAAAAACATTACCTACTATGAAGCTGGAATGTTCCATATTTGCCCCCCCCCCAAAAAAAAAAACTGGGTCTTTTTACTCTAAACCCGTTAGCATTCTGGGATTGAGCTTTCACCAAGTAATATTTAGATGGGTTACTTTACCTTAAATGGGACCCTTGTTCTTATCTATAAATCAGTAAGTGGCTGAAAATTTTATATAAGGTTATATACATAAGGACAACTTGTTCCCTACTGGCTAAATCCAGGATGCTCAAAACATACACTGAGCTGAAACACTTCTAAACATACACATATTATTCTTGGGGATGGTGAAGAGGCTGAAACGGTCGGTCATGAACAGAAAACCACCAGCAGCATCAGTTCTAAGTGATCAATCTAATCTTAACTTGTTATTGCTCAAGGGGGTTTAATTTTTTAAAAAAAGTCTTAGTACAGTTTCAATGAATTCATTCATTTTTCAGGAATTCAACTCCTGAGAAGTACATGACTTCCAAAATTGTACACTTATCTACTATTTTACTCCTTTTACCCCATATATGATATTAAATGGCCCAGGAAGACGGGGATTTTTTTCCTTAGAAGAAGAAGCATCTTACCTTGCATGAAGAAGGAGCTAGGGAAAGTGCTGGTTGCTGGTTTTGAGGAAGGGTAGCCTGGCGAGTCCCTATTGTAGTCGGCAGTGCTTGCTGATGGCGCGTAGACCTGAGGAAAAAGAACCAATTGAATTTCCCTTTCTGCACTGACCAAAGCATCTCAAGGTCCATTGAAGAAGCAGATACAAAATGCTAAATTTCTGTCATAACCAGTCTAAATCCGATCAATCCCTATAAATACTGGCCCTTTTAAAATACAGTAAAATAAAAAAAAAAATTCTCAGTACATTTGTGTGAATAGGATATAACCAGGTATGATATTTTCCAGTCATAGACAAGAGTATTGCAAACAATGTCTAGTTGTAAATACACTACACAATACCCACAGGGTAGTCCTGTGAGGCAGAGCATTCTTTTTTCTTTTCTTAAACACAGATGAACCCATGAGTATATGTGAAAGGTAAAAATAGAAAGACATGCACTAAGCCTCTCCCAAAAGGTAGAGTAAAAATTCTACCTTTCAATTAAAAACTTCACTTTTACAGAGAGAGGAGAGAGAGAGAAAGAGAAAGAAGACATGAATGAACTATCCTAACCACAAAAAGTGATAAATATATCTTGGAATATTAAATTCCCATAGTGTCAGCTTTTTGCAGAGATGCATGAACAAGGCCATGAAAAGCCTGGATCTACGTAAGACCACCAACAATCAGGGTGTGCGCAGGAAGGGGAGGAGGGAGCCCTCCTTTTTAGTGCTTATTATATTTGTGTGTACAATAAACTTAAAAAGTGTGCCAAAAAACCTAATTCGCTTACATTCGTTTGCTAATACTCATGAGACTTGGGGAACCAGTTCTTTATAAAAATAGCCTGTGTATTTTCTTGTTTATGTTTCCTTTAAACAGAACAGCAGAGTAGAAAAGCATAAATTCATAAGGTAGAGTTTAACTTTAATTGGTTTTCACCCTTGCCTTTTCTGCTAAATATAAGTTTTTTTTTGTAATCCCCATTTTCTTGTGCTCTCAAAGTTCCTCTCTCCAGATGGTCAGAAAGACTGAAACACTGTCATCCTCTTGATGAAAATGGATACTTTCCTGCCTCCATTTTGAAGCAGGCAGCGGCTCACAAAATTGGCAGGGAGCCTACAGTGATATTCACAGGTCACAGTAAAAGGAGAAGAAATGCACCAATAAAAAGGCAAGTGCAGGGTTACCAAAAAATAACTCCCATTTTTTTTTTTTGCAGTACATATAGAATAAACACCCTAAGAAAAATTACATAATTGCCCTCAGAACACCATGAATCATAAACTAAACCTTAACACAAGGCTTAGGATTGCACAAAGGACAGGTCCACAGAGACAGATGCACACACATCCATACATCAAATAAATCCTACACACGCCCCATGGTGCCCTTGAAAATTGGGAGGTCCTTGAGCTTAAACAAAATAAAAACAAACCAGAAAAGCCCATTCACACTTTAGAAAATAAGGATTCTCCTTAAGTCACTGACGGATATATAAGCCCTACATTTCAAAGGACTTTATTTTGTAGTTTTCAGCACATTTTGTATGTATAAACAGTGACTTGCTTCTATTTCCACAGGGCTTACAATAAGGGGGAAAAACAATGTTTTGAGGATTCTTAAGGAACTGAGAATAAAACTTAGTCCAGGAATCTAAAAAACAAGTTACCTAAGTTCTGTTAACAAAACTCAGAATTTTCTTGAGGACTACACAACTAACAGTTTGGGAAATACTGTTAAATATATTTAAAGAAGATTTTGAGAGTATATTGAAAAGATGAAAGAAAATTCACCTTCTAAGAAAAGGAGAAATTGAAAATTAACAGAATGGGCACAATACAATTATAATATATTTACACTCTATTAACCTGAGAGCTATTTGGCCAGTCAGTATTAATACAAACTAAATGTGGTATATATTATTCCCACACTTCAGAAACCAATCTATGTTTACTATAAAACTAAAAATAATCTCCGACCCATATTATTAAATCGCCTTATGTTTTAAAACAATTGAAATCAAGTCTTCTAATATATAGTTTAATTTTAATTCCATATTCTATTGTATTATCCTCAAAAATGTATATTATTATGTCAACATCACTTGAGGACATTTTTCAAGGTTCATCTTTTTTTTTTTTCTAATTTGGGTAGAATTACTTGACATTTCTTTTGAAAAATAAGGAAAAATCTTTGGTTAACTCTGGCTATTTACAAGGAGGCTGCTTTTACTATGAACAGTGATCAAACTCAAATATCTAAGGATAAGATCACTGATCCCAAATTCATCAATACTGTTTGCATGGTAAAGAATACCTACAGAGTTAAAAAGGTTTTGGGATATGTTACACCATGCAATTACTACTTTTCAGCTATTGTAGCCAATTGAAGACTCTTCAGATAAGATGAAAGTCTTTGTTAACAGGAAATGGACCACTGTTTACAGTTTTTTAAGGCAATTTGGGTACATTTTGTAAATTTTCTTTATGTAGTGATTACAGATCAGGTACAATGTCATAACCTTTCCATTTATATACTCTATCTTTGTTACCTCATCTCAAAAATTATTTTTTAAGGTGAGTGCTCTGTATTTTTTTTTCTTTTTTTGCTGAAGAAGTCCCTTTTCAATGTATTTTTATTTATATAAATAAATATTGCATAGAACTATACTTTTTAAAAGTAGAAGGAATCAACAAATTTACTTAGTTCAACCGCCCAACAAACATCCTAAACATAAGAAAATTCAATAATGGAGCTATTAAAGCAACATTACTCTTTATTTTTCACCATTTGATAGGTACTTTTAAAAAAAATTATAAGATGATATTTATGAAAACACTGTGACCATAGTGTTCATACTTCAGTTTATCTTTAATATTTTAATGTTTAATAACTTGGATGATCAGCAAGTTGCTTCATTATTTTTACTTAGTCAACTATTTTGTCAATTTTTCAATCAAAAGTCTTCAAAATATGGGTTTGAATAAGTTTTAATGACATTAAATTCTGTAAGAATAAGAAGAGCTCACATTCCTTTTGTTTTCATTATTATCATCCTAGGCATGCAGAAAGCTCAATAACATAATTATTAAATAAAATAACTTTATTTGATTAATAAAATAATAAAATCCTGGATCTCTTCCAAGCATTGGAGTTATTTTTAATGATAAACACCAGAAAATCGATCCAATCTAAAACAAAAATCCCAAACTCTAGTACAATGTATTTAAGTGACCCCCAACAATGAAACTGAGGAAAATCTAATGGGAATCAAAAATCCACACTTAAATTTTTCTCCAATAGGTGGGTTAGATCAAGGTAATTGCTGGCAGTCTGATTCTTCCCACAAGAGTAACAAAAGAAGTGTGAAATTTTTATTGCCAGATTGGAAATAGGAATGCTTGAAGCTCATAGGCCACATTTCTTTTCCTAAATTATTTTTTGAGTATAAAAGCTTCATGGAAAACTAACACCACGGTATATTTAATATTCAAAGTTATCACCATTATCTTTTCTCTTATAATGCCAAATTTAACACAAATCATACATACAGAAACTCTTGAGTTTAACAAAGCTCTCTAGATAACACTAAACCTTGAACCAACAAAAGTAAAAAAAGTTCTCATTTTGTAGATTTAATTTTTTTTTGTAGTTTGAGAAGTACCACTATGCTGTATTAGCTGTTCCATTTAATGCTCCCAACTATCCTTCCTGTAGTCGAAGTAAAAAACAGTGTGATGAGTTCTAAACAAAACCTCTGCCTATCAGAATAGAAGAAAACCAAGCCAGCACACACAAACCAAAAAACAAAATGAAGGGGGTATGCCTTCTACCTTTTTCCTTTTGACACTCTCATTTTTATTGGTCTTGGCATATCAGTTTCACTTAGATTTTAAAACAACAATAATTACCATTTGTTTAGGGCCTCTTGTGGAATGGCTTTTGTGGTAGAAGTTCCACATACATCATTTCTAATCTTCATAGTGATCACACAAGGTAGATACTGTTAATACCGTATCATCCCTATTTCACAAAGCTGAAGTATTATAGAGAGGTCAAATGTATTGGCCCAAACCATCTTGGGTCTGACAGCTAGTTCCACCATTTATTACCTAGGCAACTTGGGATCTAGTACATTTAACTTTCTTTGGATTCCTACCCGTAAAATGGAAATGATGATGCCTGCTATGCAAAGTTCTATGAAAATTAAGTGGTATAATAATACATGTAAAGCAACTACAATGGAACCTCGCAAATATTAAGCAAGCAACAAACCGCAAGCATTAGTGTCGATGCCATGCCGCCATTGTTTTTATTATCTGGACAAACTTAACTCAGGAAGGTTAAGCTATGCTTCCATGTTACAAGTTTTTCCAGAGGTAAAGCAAGGATTTGAATTGGTCATCAACGTCTGCGTTCCTTCCATTAAAAAGCAATTGCTTGCTCTTAAAAGGCAAAAGACTTAGTAAAGAAAAGATATTTTTAACCATCATCATGAGGCTATGCCCTGTTTATAGAAACAGTCTTTTGGGGTCTGACAATTACCTTATAAGAAAATAAAACCTCATACGGCATGTTTATGGTGAAATCAGGTGTGTGTGAAGTAACCTGCTTCCTGAAGTGGGAACCTCAACTCTGAGGGCATCAAGAGAAGTGACTTCATATCATGTATCATGATATGAAGTGTCACTAATTAGGGCTGGGTGACAGCCACTTGATTGCACAGCAGACATTTACTATTCCTTCACATTCCGTGATTCTATAAATACCATGGGAATATCTCATTTCCAAAGAGAAGCAGTCCAGAATAATTGAAACAGTATAACTGAGGCTCAGTCCCTTAAAGAGAGTCACAGGATGCTCCATGATAGGAAGAAAACAGCAAAGTAGAATCATGCCACAGATGCTTGAAGGCTGGCTAGGCTCACTCAGTAGCTCAGACCTTGGGAGATTTCACACATATTTTCAACGGTGACAGTGAAACACTCCAATGCCAATACCATGTGCCACTACTGGTGTCCACAGACCTAGGCTGTGTAGGTGATGCATTTACTACCCAGGCAACTGAGTTGGGCCCTCAACT